GGATTTTTTTTTCTCCATCCATCCATCTATTATCTTTACCTGCTTCTTCCATTTTGGGTCACGGAGGTCATTGGTGCCCATGTCCAGCAATCACTGTGCGAGGGGTGGGGACACCCTGGACGGGTCTCCAGTCCATCACAGGGACACATAGAGACAAACGAGACAAACAACCATTCACTCTCTCACTCACACCTAGAGACAATTTAGAGTCACTAATCAGCCTAACATGCATGTTTTTGGTCTGTGGGAGAAAACCCAGGCATGCACGGAGAGAACATGCAAACTCCACCCAGAAAGGCCCCTGGACCGGGGTTTGAACCAGGGACCTGCTCGCTGAGAGGCAGCAGCTCTACCAGTTGCACCACCGTGCTGCCCGGAAATTTTTTTTTTTGCCTCCAAAACCTATGTTGTCACTTTCACCACTTATTGTCTGTCCAAACAGGCCTTACTTGTAAACAAGTCTTCGAGGCTCAATGTGACTTATCTGTTTTAAATAAAGGTTGAATGAAAAAAAAAAAAAAGCTGAGTACCCATACCGATTGTACGAGAGAGAACCGGTCCACTCCATCTTTACTGAACAGTTTGAGTACGGTGGCTCTTTACCAACTTTATTTCACAGGAGCTCAATAAAGTTCTACCTTATCTCTTATCCAACATTTTTCAGTCAGGTCATCTGGACAGTTTCTTTTTTTGTGCTGAAATGTTTTGCCTTCAGATTGTAAACCTGGATTATTGAGTATGGACTTTGTTTATCCTGATGCATGCTCAATAATCCAGGTAGAAAAATCCAAAAAAATTCAATCTGGTCCTCTGGACATTCAAAAAAACAAAACAAAGCAAAAAAATACAGAAACGTTTCGTCTCTCATCCGAGAGACTTCTTCAGTCTGAGGTGCTGTATTCAGCTCAGTCTCTTAAATAGCACCTTCTCAAACTGGTTGATCCACTCTGAGAAAGTGCTATTTAAGAGACTGAGCTGAATACAGCACCTCAGACCGAGGAAGTCTCTCAGATGAGAGACGAAACGTTTCTATATTTTTTTGTTTTGTTTTTTTGAATGTCCAGAGGACCAGATTGAACTTTTTTGGACATGGACTTTGTTGTTTTCAACCAGTTTGACAAGACTGTCAACAAAGAAGAGGGCCGGCAAAGGAGGAGGGGCGTACCAAAGAGACCATCTTATCACAAGGAGAACTGGTTTGTTCCACTTTGGAGTAAGCTGTTGGGGGAAGAATCAGTTTTGTTATGTTTCCTTGACTGATGAAGCCTTCTGGATCGAAGGCGAAACGTTTCAGCACAGAAAAAAAAAAACAAAAAAAAAAACTGTCCAGATGACCTGACTGAAAAATGTTGGACTGTAAACCTGGATTATTGAGCATGGACTTTGTTCTTATCTCTTATGTTTCCATTGAGTATTGGAAGGTGAAGTAGCTACATCATGACACTAACATTAAGCTAACACAATTTCAACTACAATCGGACAACGATATGCTGATATGGTAACCTGACATCAGTGGTGGGCACAGCTAATAAAAATGATAGCTACGCTAACTCAATTCATGTACTAAAAATTTAGCTTCAAGGTTAAACTGCTAAATAGGTAAAAATAATTTAGCGGACACTAAAGTCAACATGACAATCTGTGTGACACATCTGTCTCCTTCCAGTTCAACTGGTAGGACCTAGGGCTGGGCGATATATGGATATTTTAAAAATATCGAGATGATTTAAAACGCAATATGAAATGAGACTATATCGATATAAAATGCAGGGAAAAATATTTTTATGACATTTATTTTGTACAGTTATGGTAAATGGACTGCACTTATATAACACTTTTCTATCTTATCCAGCTTTACAAAAATCTGTGTCCTCATTGACCCATTCATGCAGCTCTATACTAGATCTCTACAAAGCTAATTGAACAAATCATTCTAAAGAGACTAATCAGAGCTTTGAGTTCACATTCATGCACTGATGACACACATCAGAGGCTGTGAGGGGTTCAGTGTCTTGCCCAGGGACACTTCGACATGTGACTGCTGGTGGATTTGAACCCCCAACTCTTGCATTGGAGGACGACTGCTCTAACCACTCAGCCACAGCTTTGTTAAGCTGTGGGACAACTGGGGCCAAGTTTTGACTCAGAAATATATTTATGTTACTACTTTATGGAAATAAAAATGTATCAATATATATCGTTTATCGCCATTTATCTTAAAATATCGAGATATTAATTTTGGTCCATATCGCCCAGGCACAGTGAGAGCGATGCCAACCTGTCCACGTTGGGTTGATTCTATTAGTTTGATTTAAAGGTGTGAGGGATCATTTGTGGCAATTCAGCCAATCCAGCCCAGAACTACAGCGCTGCATGACGCACATGCATGACGCACATGCATGACGCACATGACGCACATGACGCACTTGATGCACATGCATGACGCACATGCATGACGCACATGCATGACGCACATGCATGTGCGTCATGCAGCGCTGTAGTTCTGGGCTGGATTGGCTGAACATGAAACAGATCAGCAGCAACATGATATGGTTCTTCACAGTGATTATTCTAGTTAGAGATTCATGAGTCTAACAGCCTCAGGGTAGAAGCTGTTTCTCAGTCTAGTGGTTCTACACTTAATGCTCCTTAACCTCCTTCCTGAGGGGAGTGGGGCAAAAAGTGTGTGTGCTGGGTGGGTGGGGTCCTTCATGATGCAGGCGGCCCTCTTCCTGCATCTGGAGGTGTAGATGTCTGTGATGGTGGGGAGGCTGACTCCAACATCTTCTGTGCAGCCTTCACCACTCTCTGCAAAGCTTTTCTTTCTGCAGCTGTGCAGCCTCCATGCCACACGTTGATGCTGGAGCACAGGATGCTCTCCACTGCACACCTGTAGAAGGAGGTGAGGACTGAGCTTCCCAGACCAGCTCGCCTCAGCCGTCTGAGGAAGTAGAGTCTCTGATGAACTTTCCCGATCAGGCCGGCGGTGCTGCCGCCCCAGCCGAGGCCGTCATCCATGTGCACACCCAAGTACCTGCAGCTGGAGACCACCTCCACCGCAGATCCTCCCATGTTCAGGGGGGTGCAGGTGTTTTTGTTCCTTCCGAAGTCCACAATCATCTCCTTTGTCCTCTTCACATTGATGTGAAGGTTACTCTCTCCGCACCAGCTCTCCAGGTGCTCCACCTCTTGCCCGCAGCTGGACCCATCATTGTTTGTGATGCATCCCACCACCGCTGCATCGTCTGCAAACTTTACAATGTGACAGCCTGGATGGGCAGCCGCACAATCATATGTGAGCAGAATAAACAGAAGGGGGCCCAACACACATCCCTGAGGAGAGCCAGTGCCGAGGGCCATGGTGGAGGAGGAGAGGCCGTGGATCCTCACTAACTGCGGTCTGTTTGTTAAAAAGTCCAGTACCCAGCCGCAGATGGAGGGGCCCAGTCCCAGTACGGATAGCCCGTCCACCAGGGGCTGGGGGACCATGGCGCCGAAGGCGGATGTGAAGTCCACAAAGAGCATACGGACGCAAGAGTCCCTCTGCTCCAGGTGGCCGAGCGCAGCATGGACCACAGAGGAGACCGCATCCTCTGCTGATCGGCTCCCACGGCATGCGCACCAATGAGGGTCCTCGTTGATGCTGACGGCCGTTTCGATGCGAGCCATGACCAGCCCCTCGAAGCATCTAGCGACTATCGGGGTGAGGGCCACTGGCCGATAGTCATTCAGACCAGTCACTGCAGAGTTTCTTGGGACTGGGATGATGGTGGCAGTCTTCAGGCAGGTGGGAACTGTCTCCAGGGTAAGTGAGGTGTTAAAGATGTCTGCCAGCACCCCACAGAGCCGATCAGCACATTCCCTCAACACTTTTCCGGGGATGCTGTCTGGGCCAGTTGCTTTGTGCGGATTAATCCTCCTGAAGGTACTCCTTACTTCTGCTGAGGTCACGCTGAGATGCTCTTCATCCGGTGGTGAGGTGAGTCTGGTGCTGGGTGGTCTGTTCGGGTCTTCAAAGCGTGCATAGAACTTGTTGAGGGCATCAGGCAGAGATGGGTCTTTGGGGCATTGTTCACTCCTTCCTTTATAATCTGTTATGCACTTAATGCCCCTCCACATGCTCCGAGGGTCTTGTGAGATGAATTGACCCTCGATCCTCTGTGCATATGTGGCCTTGGCCCTCTTAATACCAGCAACCAGCTCTTTTCTTGTCCTACTCAGCTCCTCTGAGTTTCCAGACCTGAAGGCAGTGTTCCTGGCTTCCAGCAGGGTACGCACCTCTGCATTCAGCCAAGGTTTTCTGTTTGGGTAGCTTTTAACATTTCTGATAGTGGAGACTGTGTCAGTACATGTACTAATGTAACCCAGAACTGAGGATGTGTATTGGTCAAGATCAAGCGAACCTCCATTTTCAGCAGCTTCTCTGAAAACCTGCCAGTCTGTTCGATCAAAACAATCTCTCAGTATGGGGCCACTGTCCTGGATCCAACATTTAACTTTCTTTTGTACCGGTCTGGAGCGTCTCAGCGGGGGCATGTAAGCAGGAGCCAGGAAGAGCGACGCACATGCATGACGCACATGCATGACACACACGCATGACGCACATGACACACA